TTGTTTTTCGGCAACTAACACGCCTGCCCAAAAGTAGTCCAAAATCGCCAGAGGTGTTGTAACTTTTTTAAATTTCATCCTGATCGTACGAAATTTTCAATAAACATAGAACATATCATTTTTACAAATCGTGTCGTTTTTGTTTTTGGATTTTTTATTTTTGGCGAGAAAATGACGTCACACACCTGGCGCCAAAAATTTAAAAATTAGCAATGAATAATATTATTTATTTATTTGGAAGACCATGCTGTAGGAATCTTGAAACTGAAGTCTGTTTCGAAGTACAACCATTCACTGCAAAGTTAGGGTGATTCAAATTTCGAAAAATCCGCCATTTTGCTCTATTTTTAGCCAAAATGACCGATTTTTCGAAATTTGAACCAGTCTTTCTTTGCAGCGAATGGTCGTATTTCGATACAGACTTCAGTTTTAGTTTTCCTACAACATGCGCTTCCAAATAAATACTTGATATTAGCAATTGGTAATTTTTAGATTGTTTGCGCCATGTTTCTGACGTCATTTTCCCGCCAAAAAATAAAAAGTCCAAAAACAAAAACGGCACGATTTGTAAGAATGATATGTCCTATTTCTAAGAAAAAATTTCGTACAACCAGCATGAAAATTAAAGAAGTTACAACACCTCTGGCGATTTTGGACTACTTTTTGCCAGGCGTGCCAAATTTGTATTTTTCTGTCAAAAAGTATATTTTAAGCATGTCCACGATGTTAAACAACCCGGAAGATAAATATTTTTACTTAGTTTACCTCCTGTTCTCTTGTTCAGTAGAAAAGCATCTATCGCAATGAAACCAAAAGCCATTTATCCAACTTTAATCGCGTCATTTTAGTATTTTCACAGCCATGCTTGCACTAAAGTAACAAACGCAACCGATCTCAAATGTATTTACCACAACTGGAATTTTATCGGTATTCATTATAACCGTGAACTATCAAATAAAAATATGAACACGTTACGTACCGTTTAGTTCTTTCCGTACTAAAAAAAATTTCCCTTTGGCTTCACAAGCGTCTCACCCACTTCGGCCTTGGGCCGCTTTTGAGACCTCGGGGGAATATTTTTTTCTACCGACGTCGCAGTCAGTAAATAACATATATTTGTCCACGATGTTAAACAACCCGGAAGATAAATATTTTTACTTAGTTTACCTCCTGTTTTCTTGTTCAGTAGAAAAGCATCTATCGCAATGAAAGCCATTTATCCAACTTTTATCGCGTCATTTTAGCAGTTTCACAGCCATGCTTGCACTAAAGTAACAAACGCAACCGATCTCAAATGTACTTACCACAACTGGAATTTTATCGGTATTCATTATAACCGTGAACTATCAAATAAAAATATGAACACGTTACGTACCGTTTAGTTCTTTCCGTACTAAAAAAAATTTCCCTTTGGCTTCACAAGCGTCTCACCCACTTCGGCCTTGGGCCGCTTTTGAGACCTCGGGGGAATATTTTTTTCTACCGACGTCGCAGTCAGTAAATAACATATATTTGTCCACGATGTTAAACAACCCGGAAGATAAATATTTTTACTTAGTTTACCTCCTGTTTTCTTGTTCAGTAGAAAAGCATCTATCGCAATGAAAGCCATTTATCCAACTTTTATCGCGTCATTTTAGCAGTTTCACAGCCATGCTTGCACTAAAGTAACAAACGCAACCGATCTCAAATGTACTTACCACAACTGGAATTTTATCGGTATTCATTATAACCGTGAACTATCAACTAAAAAAATTAACACGTTATTTACCGTTTACTTCTTTCCGAACTAAAAAAAATTTTCTCGGCGTCAGAAGCGTCTCACCAACCTCGTTCCCAGTGCTTTTCCCTTTACAAAAAGGGAAAAGCCCTGGGAACGAGGTTGGCGTCTCACGGCCTTCGGCCTCGGGCTGCTTTTGAGAACTCGGGAAAATATTTTTTTAGTACGGACCTTGCAGTAGATAAATAACATATATTTATTTTTTTTCCGCACTAGTGTGAAATATGTTAACAAAACTCAAAATAACAGTAACTCCGAACAACATTTTGGTTTTTAATCAACGTTTCGACTGGTTTGTAATCATCCCCAGAATTAAGAATTGCACCAATATATTCAACGGCCTCACGAAAAATTTTAAAATTTTCTGTCAGGAGCGGGATTCGAACCCCCGCCCACATTACTGGACCAGAACCCCCTTTGGCTGCGCATTAGCGGAGCAAGTTTGGAAACTTGAGTCTGGTGCCTTTGACCGCTCGGCCTTCCTGACAGCTGACAACCTTTGTGCCTACTGTACTTTACATCATTTTATTTTCTTAAATAATCTAGATAAAATATTTCATTTAACCAGAAAAATACATTCGACTGCAACTAAATCAACAATCGTTTCTTACAACGCACGTCAGTGCTCCTTCTATAGCTTCAAGAGAAGAATCAAGGTTGGCTTCTGCGGGAGGATCAATTGAATGAATTTTCAGCTAATTTTGAACGTTTGAAACTGGAGAAGTTTGCAAAGGATTCCGAGCAAGCGCTTGTTTCTGTAGTGTAGCGGTCATTATATGCGCATCACGCGCGCAATGTTCCCTGTCCGATCCTGGAAAGAAGCTGCATTTGGTGTTTTATTTATAGAAAATGAAAATAGCAAATTTCAGCAACGGACAGAACTCCTGCTTCACCAGCCAAGTTACTGTAGTGTAGTGGTCATCACGTGCGCTTCACACGTGCAAGTTCCCCAGTTCGAACCTGGGCGCAAACATAGTAAATGTGTTGCGAAGCCGGGCTGTTTATTATCAAATTTTAACTAGCGTACATCATCGGTTGTGAAAAGGTAAACCAATTCTTAGAGGCCGTTAACTTGTGACGCGCAATTCGAGTTGCACCATCATCTTTTCCTTCTATTGCTTCCATTTCCCACGTTTTTGTCATCGAAGAAAGAAGAACTTGCGCATTATTTATTACCTGTTCTAGCGTAATCTTCCTTAAAATCTGTTTCATGCTAAACACTGATTAATGCATTGACGAGCAGTCGAGATCTGCCGTACCGGCCAATATTAAAAAAAGCAATATTTATGACAACTGTTTTCCACGATTGATCTCAAGTTTGAGTGATGGGGAGAACGCGAGATTCGCTGTCAATGTGCTGCTTCAAACTGACACCACGAAGAATTTTTTTAGCTGATTAGCATTTAATTATTTAACAATTAATGGAATTGACACAGCGATTTTCCCTGATATATCAAGTAGTTTTCTCCCAGGTAAAACAATCACATCTGGATATGAATTAGCCATTGGCGAATATTTATCGGCATGCAGTTTTCCGTCGTGTAGTGGTCATCACGTTCGCCTAACACGCGCAAGGTCCCCAGTTCGATCCTGGGCGGAAACAATGGATTGATAGAAAACGTACAACTTGTACTAAAACTTAAAATTTTAAAAAAGTACTTTAAATTATTTTTATTATTTATTATTATTTATTTTTATTATTATAATTCATTTATATAGCGCCATTTCCCATAGCTCAATAGCGCTTAACATTAAGTGTTAAAAATATATACTAAGTGTTAGAACGTAGTACATGCATTGACTTCTAAAATTACTATACTATAAAATTACTAAAAACTTAATTATATGCTCTTCTCGTTAAGAATATAAAATTACTTTATGTTATGTATGTTGATAATATTAAAACAGCAACTATATAGAATACTATAAAATTGCTAATAATATTGTTAAAATAATAACTTAGTCATAATATTGTTTAAAAAGATGTGTCTTTAATCTGGTTTTAAAAATAGGCAAGGTCTCACTCTTTCTAATATACTCTGGCAGTTCGTTCCACAGTTTTGGTGCAGCATATGAGAACGATCTTTCACCATAGTTCACTAATTTTACTGAGGGTATGGTAAGCAATCCTTTGGATGAGCAGCGTAAATTTGCTGACGTTGTGTAAGGTTTTACCATATTATTAATGTAATGTGGAGCTGAGCCATTCAGAGATTTATACGTAATAATAACAATTTTATAGATGATGCGTTGACTGATGGGGAGCCAATGTAATTGTTCCATTAATGGAGTAATATTATCGTATCTTTTGCTTCCTGTCACCAGTCGGGCAGCACAGTTTAGCACATTCTGTAACCGATCAATAAGAAATTTAGGCAATCCGTATAATAAGGAATTACAATTATCCAGTTTCGATGTAATAAAGGACTAAATTTTGGATATCTGACGTTGATAAGTACTCTTTTAATCTTGCTATTTTTCTCAAATGAAAAAAACAGTTCTTGCAAATATTGGTAACATGTTTATCCATAGACATGTGGTGGTCGAAAGTTACACCGATGTTTCGTGCTGAAGTACTTGGTTGAATTCTTGAATGAACGATTTCGTGCATTGATTGCTAGTAGTTCAGTCTTGTCCCCATTCAATTTCAATTTATTTTTGACCATCCACAAATCAATCTCTTTCACATACATTTCAGTTTGTGCCAGGGCTCCCAATTTTTGTCTCAATGGTTGACTCAAAAGCGAGATATAATTGCGAGTCATTTGCATAAACGTGAAAATCAAGACCATGACCTCTGATGATGTCACCAAGGGGTGAAGTGTATAGTAAATATCGTATAGGGCCGAGAACGGATCCTTGTGGGACTCCACAGCGCAAGTCTTTAGAGATAGATTTAACACCGTCAATCACTACACTTTGCGTTCTATTCTGAAGATAGGACTTTTCAACAGTTGCCCATCTATTCCAAATCTTTTGAACATTCGTTGTAGTAAAAGTTCGTGATGAACAGTATGGAATGCTGCTGACATATCTAGTAATAGCAATACCACACACTTACGATCATCAATGGCTACAAGAATATCGTTTTGTACTTTTAATAGGGTTGTTTCTGCACTATGAAAACGTTTATATGCCGACTGGAAGGGTTCTTCTAAGTTGTTACTAACCAAGTGTTCCAGAAGCTGACCTGCAGCAACCTTCTCAATTACTTTAGGCAGGAATTTTAAATTTTAAATAGGTCGGAAATTTGTGTATTCGTCGTACTCCCGCGAATCTTTTTTTAGTTTTGGTTTCAACACGGCTTCTTTTAATTTCTCAGGCATACAACCTGACTGAAGTGATTTATTACTAATCTTAGTAATTATAGGTAAGAGAGTCTTCTGACTACCTTGAAAGATTTTTGCAGGAACTGGATCAAATTCACAAGATTTTTTTACCAACTTTATCAATTAATGGAACAATTGCTCTCCAGCCAGCTAACTGAGCTAAGAATTAAGAGTAGACACATACAGCTTTTGTGTGGGAGAAAGGGTTATGGGGGTGAAGGACTCCTGGTACAATAAGTGTCACATTATATGTATATTTAACCCAATAGACTCTTTATGGCCTTATATTTCGTCCTGCGGGGTATATATAAGGCCCGCTCTGATAACCCTAGGTGTAATGGTCACTTGGGCTGCCCTGGGGGTAAGGGTCCCCAGAGCGCATGCCAGAAGGGTAGCGACCCCGTCTGACCTTATTAACCTGAACCAAGGGGTAAGGGTCCCTTGGACAGTTCCTATAACTCGGCCGATTATATTTACATTGAATGAGTCTATGGGCATGAAGGTGACCTTTGGGAGCACTTCAACCCCAAACCATTAAATATTTTATTGCAAAAACTTCAATAATTAATAACAAGAATTATTAATGCTCTACTGTTTTTGGTCAATATATATAATATGCTATATTACATCATGCACCGTGACAGTGTACTCCAGTGATGGTGTTATCTCCAATATTAGTGTTCTCCTTTGGTAGCGATTTCCAGTTATAGTGGTCTCCAATAATAATGTTCTTCCATGATAATGTTCACCATAGGTGTTTTGTGTAATCCCTTAGGAGAAGTGGTGGGTGGGTGGGAAAATGTTACAGTAGCTTTGGAACATTACTTTGTTAAGACTTTGAAACAAGTGATCTCTTTCAGGTGTATTTGATCAATTTTACTGGCTTAACCGAATTATGGTTGGTTACATGTTTTGATGCCATCGAAGATATATTTCGATTGGCTGAAAGATAATTGGTCATGAGATGTGCACTTGTACGCTATGCCAATACAAAGATGACCTTTGATACAAATGACAGCTGTGGGTCTGTGACCTTTGTACCGCACGCAAAATATTCAAATCGATTGTCATATAAATTAGACTAAATTTGTGGACAGCATTGCCCCATTAACTTAAATTTATAATATATATAAATTAGCTTTAATGGAACAATTGCTCTCCAGCCAGCTAACTGTGCTAAGAATTAAGAGTAGACACATACAGCTTTTGTGTGGGAGAAAGGGTTGTGGGGGTGAAGTACTCCTGTTACAATAAGTGTCACATTATATGTATATTTAACCCAATAGACTCTTTATGGCCTTATATTTCGTCCTGCGGGGTATATATAAGGCCCGCTCTGATAACCCTAAGGGTAATGGTCCCTAGGGCTGCCCTGGGGGTAAGGGTCCCCAGAGCACATGCCAGAAGGGTAGCGACCCCCTCTGACCTTATTAACCTGAACCAAGGGGTAAGGGTCCCTTGGATAGTTCCTATAACTCGGCCGATTATATTTACATTGAATGAGTCTATGGGCATGAAGGTGACCTTTGGGAGCACTTCAACCCCACAAATACAATAAAGTGTATCTGACACTTGAGTGTATTCCCCATAGACGAACAATCCCACTCCTACAACAACTGTATTCATATAGAGAACAGCTTTTGTCAGATGATAGTAAGGCTTGTACATGTTTGAGAATTACCATCGCTTATACTACAGCTGGATAGTGAGGGAGGCCAGGAAAAACCTGCAATACAGGAAACCTGAATGGGGCCAAGACAATTAACCAGCAGCTTCC